GGTTCTGTTAGACACTGTTCATTGGGTTATAGAAATTATTTTCTATATAGTTTCTATATAGAAAAACTTTCTAGTTTTTCTTTTAAGCATGAATAAGCATTGAATTTTATCAAATGCTCTTCTAACATTTACTAAGATGATCATAAAGATTTTTCTGTGGGTTGATAATGTGATAAATTAAATAAAAAATTTCTAATTGTATAGCATCCCCAGTTCCCACTATAAACTCTATCTACATGGCCAAGATATATCCACAGTTGCATTGTTTTCTAATATTGTACTTATAATCTTTGCAGGCTATATTTCTAAGTGAGATTGAACTATAATTTTCCTTTGTTATTCAGTCCATGTCTGATTTTGGAATCAAGACTGTACTCCCAACATGAAGAAGGTGGAGAGCCTGTAAGCCTGATAAAGTGCTTGCAGGTAGATTTATTTTCACTATTTCAAGTTCAATAGTTTTTTCACGTTTTCTACACCTTCTTGAGATAGCATTTTGAAATTTACATTTTATAGAAAATTATCCATTTCTTCTTAGTTTTTATATTCATGGGCATAAAATTAATTTTCATTGTAACCTTAAAATCTAGTATGATAGTATTGAAACTTTGGTGAGATTGCTCAAGAAAGAGGCATATCTTACTAATATTTTTCATTTGTGCCTTTTTCTTGTTTTTAATACTATTGGTACTAGAAGACTGGTATTAGATGAACATCAACCCTTAGTTTGAAGAGAAGATTGTGAATTCCTAGAAATAACAGTTGATGAACTTGGGTGTTAATTCTAAACAAAATTATTAAATTTCATTATTAAAATGATGGCTTTTAAAGTAAATAAGAAAGTAGTAAAATAGGAAGCAGCAGTTAACATTAGTTCACAAAAGTTATAGCATCCCTATACATTTCTTTTTGTTTGTTTGATAGAGTTACTACCAATTAGGGACATGTTCTGAACTTTCAAAAAACTTCAGACCAAGCTTCTCAAGATACCGTGTTGACCAGATGGAGAAATGTGGGTTGGCTGACAGGCAGTACTTTAGGTACATATTTATAACTCTCTGAATGACTATACTGAAAGAATGATTAATGGAACAAAATAAACTGCAGAGGACTTCTATCCTTACCTCATTCAACATTTCTATGAATTAAGGATGGGAAAGTAAGCTTGTCAATTTGCAGATGACACAAAACTGGGATGTCAGCTAATACACCAGATGACAGAATCAGCACACACAAAAAAAGATCTGAGCAAGCTAGAAAGATGGGCTGCAATAAGTAAGTTATTTAATAAGGATAACAGTAAAAGCCTATACTCAGACTTAAAAAATCAACCACACAAGGATTAATCAAAATTGGATTTGGCAAACTACTGCTTCTGAGCCAAATCCAGCCTGCCACTTATTTTTGTATGTGTCATGAGCTAAGGATGCTTTTCATAACATTTAGGTTTGGTTCATTACAAAGTCACTATAAGGCAAGAGTGCACTGTATCTGCCCTCAAAGGTAAAGGAACTAACTACACCCCATGAAAATTTTTGAACTCAAACTAAGCACTAGGCACTGCACTAGTAATGCAAAGATGACTACAACCAAAGACAAAGAGAGTGACTAAGACTTAATTCTTGCCTTGGAGCTCAGAGTCAAGGAAGACAGACAAGCATGCAACTAATAATATAATATTATATGCTAACAGTGTGATCTACATTCAGAATACTGTGTTCAGTTCTGGGTAGTATTATTTAAGTAGGACATTATCAGGCTTGATATTGCTCAGAGGAGAGCAAAAAGTTCATGATAATCTATAAACTATGTTATATGGATAAAGCTAAAAGAATAGGGACTGAAACATTTCGAGAGAGATGAGAAAATGTGACTACAATTTTTAAAAAATATTTTTAAAGGGTTTTACTTATTTTTGGAGAGGGGAGAGAGGGGAAGACAGGGAAAGAGAACATGAGAAACATTGATGTGTGAGAGAGACATCAATCAGTTGCCTCTCCCATGTCCTCAACTGGGGACCTGGCCTGCAACCCAGGCATGTGCCCTGACCAGGTATCAAACCAGAAAACTTTGTTTTTAGACCAGCAACAATTTTCAAATATCACAAGCACACACAAACAGAAAAATTATTCTTATTTTTCTTTTACAATTCCAAGGAGAACTGGACTCAACAAATGTGAATTTTAAGCAAGAACATTACACACACAGACACAACTTTCTGGCAAAGTAAAGATTTTACATTTTTTTCATCCCTGAAAGTGTACAAGAGACTAGATGATAATCTATGAAAGAAACTAAAGAAAGAATTCCTATGTCTGTTGGTTGGTTCTTTCAATCAATCAAATTCTAGAAAAGGTAGATTGCACACAGATAATGAAGGATCTTAAAACCACATTAAGGACAATGGGTTTTACCCTGAAGTGCTGTGGTCCTCAACTGTAATAAGGGTGATTTTGTTCTCCAGGGGACATTTAACAATGCCTGGAAACATTTGGGCTGTCACAACTTGGGAGGGGGTTTAATGCTATTGTCATATAGTGGGAACTTTGCAATGCTGCTAGACATCCCAACATGCACAGGAAGTTCTACACAACAAACAATTAACTGGTCAAAAATGTAAATAGTGCACAGGTGGAAAAATGGTGTGGTAATATATCTGGGAGTGGAAGTTTAGGGGTTGGAGGTGTAGGAAGAGAACTTGCTATATAAAGTTATATATTTTTAAAAATATTTTATTTAATTTTCAGAGAGAGGGGAAGGGAGAAGGGGGGGGGAACATCAATGTAAAAGAGAAACATCAGTTGGCTGCCCTTCCCACTCCCCCAGCCAGGGGCCTGGCCTGAAACCCAGGCATGTGCCCTGACTGGGAATAGAACCAGTGACCTTCTAGTTCACAGGCTGGTGCTCAATCCACTAAGCCACGCCAGCCAGGACAAATAGTTATATATTAGAGCAGCAATTTTCCACCTTTTTCATCTCATGGCACACATAAATTACTAATATTTTGTGGCACACCAAAATATATATATTTTTGTTGATCTGACAAAAAATAGGTATACTTTTGATTAATTTACACCAGACACTACTGTGATGGCTGTTGATATTTTTTTTACCAGTGTGCCTCTTGTGGCATCATTGTTTTAGGGGAAAGTATCTAGCATTGTTTTATAATGTATGAATAAGGAAGTGTACTACTCTCCAAATGTTCAGTTTTTTCTTATCTCACATTCTTATCATCTAAGTTGTCTGAGGCAAGCAAACATGTCCTTTAATAAAGACTCATTTCATACCTCCTATATCCATCAATATCCTTCCTATTTCCTGTGTGGGGTAGAACTGTTTAAATAACAAGTCATAAATGGCAGAAGATGGGTTCCCTTTAAAGGTTCCTTTGTTGTGGTTAATGAGAAAGAGGCAAACCAGCCCCCAAGAAACTCATGGAACGACCCATCTGATATGTTGCTTCCACAACCCCAAAATGCAGGTTTGGGGATGTAGTCTAATTTCAACTTGGGGTGCCTTACTCTAAATACACATTCCAACAGGGCCACAGGTTGTGCACTCTGGGGTGCTATCCTTTGCATTTTTCAAGATCCCTGACATGGACTTCTCTGATGCCTTGTCCTGTCCTGTAAATCCAGTCAGTTAACTATCCTTCACCTTCAGCTCACGTGCCCTTTCAGGTCCTTCTTTTCAAAAACCTCTCTGGGGTAGTCCTCAGTTCACTTTCTCCCTGAACAGCCCCTTGGTTCTGGTACCCTCTCCCATAACATCCATTGGGAACTTCCGTGTAAATTAGAAACAGTCACCCTCGGCCCCCCCCCCCCCTCGTGCCACAATCTATGCTTGGTATCACTTGAAAGGCAAACCAGACCTCACACCACTTCTCACCTCCGTTCAAATAAACCCTTCTCCTCAGTTCCAGGCCATTTCAAGACCTCCATGGGCCCAAATATTCATTCCTTTTTGGACACCCCGCCCCAAATCATATCAAGTACGTTAAATAAATCCACATCCTACATTAAATGTAATGCATAACTATAGGGGTTAGGTTGTAGTTGGTAGGTTACATTCTGGTAGAGTTATTAATTTCGATTTGCAATTGTCTTCTCCTTTTGGGGATCAAAACATTATTTCAGAACTCAAAAAAGTTGTGGGCTAGCACTAGCGTCTCTAGGGCTAACGGGAGAGAAGAGACGTAAGTTAGACTTTCCCCATCCCTTCACCAGCAGCCCTTCAGTGCCTTCCCGCCGCCCGCGGGGCGCGGACGCGCCCCCTCGCGACCCCTTTCCACTCTCGCTCAATTCCCTCTTCACCAGCATCCCTCTCGGTCGGCCCTGTCCAGCCAGGTTCCCACCTCCCGAGTGCCGACCTAGCCCGCGGCACCGACCTACTCGCCTGGACCTCGAGTAGCTCCAAGAGCGTAGACAGAAGGGCCTGGAGACCTCCCTTCTACCACGCCCTCAGCCCCGCCCCTACCCCCAAGCCCTCCACCCGGCCTCTACCGAGTTCCCGGCGCGCGCTCCTCTATACTCTAGAGTCTTCGCTCCACCCCGACCCGCAGGCCCCGCCTCACCCCTCGTGGTACAGCCCCCTCCCAGTACCGCCCCCTACCCGCCCAGGCCACCGCGGATCTCCCGGGCTCGCATAAATCTCTAGTCTAGGCTCTCCACCCAGTCGTCACGCTCCACCACCAGGCCACGCCCCTAAGCTCTTCTTTACTTCGTGGGCTGGGCTGAGCTGAGCAGTCCCGCCCAAGGGCCTCTACCCAGGCAGGAATCTGAGTATTCGCTGCCTACCCTCCTCCAGTAGAGCTCGATCCCTCGGGCCTGCAAGACCCAAGGGACCCGCCCCCGCGCGAGGACGCACGCGCAGTCCCCACCTCTCCTAGATCCGAGCCCTTGGCCCTCAGGTCGCCTGCCCACCGCTCGGCCCCGCCTCCAGGTCCGACCCCGCCCCCCATGCCGGGTACCGCGCACGCGCGTCTCCCTTACCCAGCCTACCCTCCCCCCGCCCCTGTCAGCCCAGCGGTCCCAAGGCGCTAGGTCGCCCCTAGCCCCTTCCCTCCTCCCATCCTTCTCAGTCCCACCCTCCTTAGCTTTGTGCCTGGGGCGCCGAGCCGCTTTCCCTCTCAGCCGCGCCTGTGGAGGAGGGATCCACTACAGAGGAGCTGCAGCTCGCTGCCCTGGGCAGGGGCACAGGTAGGTGGCGGCCGCGGGCTGGGCCGCCTACGGAGCCCTGGGCCGCGAGTGGGGGCGGGAGCGGGGTGTGAGTGAGGGGCGAAGTGGGGGAGGGGAAGACCCAGAGAGATGCGGTTGGGGTGTGGTTGGGTGAAAGGTGTGAAGAAGAGGATAAAGGAGTGTGGAAGATGGATTTAAGCTTGAGGTAGTGGTGCTGGGGTTGGGTATGTGGGCGTGTGAGAATTGGGGTTCGGGGCGGTGGGGGAGAAGGGACCAGGATTTTTGGGGTGGGCCCAGAGACGGACATGCGTGGGAATTTAGAGACATGGAGAATTGCAGTGCTTGGGAAGGGGCTTTGAGGAGTGCAAAGAGGAAAGGATATAGGATTGAAATATGAGAAAGGGTGGGGTCTTGTGGGTAGGGAAGAAAGAAGTTGGGGCTGTGGATTGTGAAGTTGAGCATAGTGAGGCCTGAAGGAAGGGGATTTTGAAGGTTGAAGGCAGAAGACAAGGAAGGAGATGGAGAGATTTATGTCCTAGGAGAGGGAACCCCAGAGAGGGGGAAGGGTGAATAAATGGTGACGGACAGAATAGATGTTGCCTGGGCAGGAGAGTGGGTGGGGGGAATGATGCGGGGAAGGAGGGAGAGGCTGGGGGAGATGGGACTGGGTATGAGAGGCAGGGAGCCAGATTTCAGAAGGGCCATGGAAGGATTAGAAGAGCATAAGGCTTGAGAGGTGGGGGCAGAGAGAGTGGGAGAAGAAAGGAGAGGTTAGGATTTTTCCGGTGGAGATTGGATTTTGTGTGTGAAGATCTAGAGTTAGCAGATAGAGAAACAGTTTCTAGATGTGGGGGAGATTGGTATGTTCCTGGAGGAAAGGAGAGAGCTGGGTATGGTACCGTCCTCTGGAGCTTGGGAGAGGAAAGGGTATGGGTGAGAAGTCAGGTAGAAAAATGCGGTTATAGGATAAAGAAATCGAAGTTCAAAATTGAATAATGGATCTGACACAGAACAATGAAGGTAAGATTAGTCAGTTATTCATGGTTTGGAACAAGTTTCTGTTCAGGTTTTTACGTTGGAAATTTTCTCCAGAATTCTGCATTTTCGAATTAACCAAGGGTGTGCAGCCTTGGGATGAAGGCCATGAATTAACAGATGTTTTCCTGGTGTGTGGATGTGGGTAATTTCTGCCCTGGCAGAAGGTAGAGGGGAAGCCTCCATGTAGCTCTGTCCTGGCTGTGTTCCCACCAGTTCTTTCCTCACATGTCCACTGTTTTTTGTTTTTGTTTTTTAATCTCCTCCCTGTCTCCCTATCCCCCAGCTTCAGCCAGTGAATACCAGAGGGATCAAACAGGTGGGTGACATTAATTTTTAACATCTTTTTTTTTACCCTTAAGGCTTATGTCATATTTTTATTCTTGAGAGACTTCATCATGCAGTGGAAAGAGCTTGAACTTTGGAGTAATACAGCCTTGAGATTGAATTCTGGCTCTGCCACTTACTAGCTCTGTTCCCTAAGTAAGTTACTTTATTTCTCTGAGGCCCTTCATCTGTTAAATGGTAATCCTGACCCCAAAGGACTGTGGAAGCTAACATGAGATTTAATATAGTACCAATCACCGTGCTTGGCAACTGATAGGTGCTTAATAAATGGTGGCTATCGTACCCACTATCATTGTCATCGTAATCTTTACTATGATTTTTGTATTATGGGGATTGTTAACTTGACTTACTAAAGTTAGGTGTTTTCTTCTCTTTCTCTTCCAATTAGATATCCATAGACTTACCTCACAATTTTAATCCTGTTGCCTCCTACTCTCCCATCTGCCTCCCCACCCCTTGACTGGGGTAGCCATGCTCTTTGATTGGTAAACTGGCTTTAAGTTATAAAAATCCATTAGGTTTAGTTATCAATTGTTTTATTTTGCTTCTTGTACAAAGAGGCTGTAGAAACCTGAGTTATTAATGGAGTATGGTTATATTTTATTGGTTTGATGAAATGGTGTGCTCCGTTGTGTTGGTTCATTTATGGGGGCCAAATACTAGAACACGCACAATCATGATGTTTTTCTGCAGTGATGTATCAGTTACAAAACTGCCCCCCTGGAGGGAGCTGAGAGACTATTAGAATGCCCCTGCTACTCTGTTGATCTAACATAAAATATAGCTAATGCAGATCTACGCTGGACATTGTTTTCTTACAGATACTGATTATTTTAATTTTCCAGTTGTATGGGGTTTTCGCCATGGTATGCCTCCTGAGGGGGCCCATTTATAGTAGACCACCCTATACAACAGCCAGGTGGAAGCAAAAAGCCAAGTACAGAAGCTTTGTGTGGAATTCTCTTGCCTTTGTGGTTCTTAACCTTGAAAGGTTTAAATACTAAAGGTTATCATCCTTAGATCATTTTATAGTACCTCACAAATTCTCAGGAAGCTCCCTGGGAGAATGCAAGATGCCCAAATTCAGTTGTAGAAATCAAAGGTTACCAGGATTCCCTGAACCAAGATGAGTTCCTCAAGTGCCATAGTTGAAGAATAGAAAGGCCTTGGGGTTTCTGGACAGGTGATGTAGGTGTACTCTTTAGGAAATATTGGATTTCTTTTCATTATTTAGAAAGAGAACTAGCATTTGATGAGTAATTTAAAGGTAAAATATAGCCAGAACTGTGCCCTTTTTAGAAAATGATCCCTAGAAGTGGAAGCTGCCAGGATTTGGGGCAGCCTGGGTTAACATCCTTACTCCGGTCCCAAGCTGCTGTGCCCTCTGCTGGATAGAATCAGACTTTTCTGATTTTCACCATAGTAGCCATCCATTCATCCATTTGTTCATTTTACTGCAAAGTTTGTGGAAGGCACTATTGGAGGGTAAGGGTTAGGAGTAATACAGATGGGCAGACCCTATTTCTTTGCCAGGGAGCCTACAATATGTTGATCCATTATAATGTTATCTTCCATTGGATTTGCCTTTCTATTAAAACCAGGTCATTCCTTTTTTGGATGATACCTGGTACCTACTTTCTGATCTATAAGTAGAGTAGGGCTTGAATATCCAGTCACAGGGACAAAGGCCAAAGGGGGTCTGCTCTATCTTCTCATCAAGATTGAAGTCTGTGAGATTGAAGGGGCCAGATGCTTACTTCTACTGGAAGAAGAGCTTAGAATTCTAAGTGAGGCATCTCCTTAGCAGCAGACTGAATACCAGCAAGACTATGAGTTTTAAGAGCTGGCACTGTGACAGTTTTTTTTCTTTTTCCTGGTTTGTAGATTTTTTCTCCTGGTAGTACTAGTAGCAGTATACTCCATCATCTGCTTTGCTTCTACCACCTGCAGGAGGGTCTGGCAAGTGGGGGAGGAGCTGCAGCTGTTGCCTGGAAGAGGAGCTGGCTCCTAGCAACAGTATCAGCAGGCCCTGCAGCTCAGAGCACTAAGCCTGTCCCTTTTGAGGTCTCACCCTTCATCTCAGTTGGTTCAGCAAATATCTGTTGAAAGCTTACTCAGTACTAGGCTCTATGTTAGGCCTGGGAAAGAGAAACAGATCAAATGAATGCCTTGCCTTCAAAGAGCTCATAGCTCTGGGGACATTAGTAAGGGAACAGACATAGTGCATGGTGCTAAGTGCCATGCAGAAGGAGTCACTGATACCCTGGGAAGGATCAGACAGGCCCACACTGGTACAGGGGTTAGGGAAGGTTTCCCAGGAGAGGGAAGGTGGCATTAATGATGAGTAGGAATTACCTACATCAGGGAAGCAGAGAAGGGTATTGCAGCCAAATGGGCAAAGGACAGTGGGACAGCCAGTTTACCTGGGTAGTATCGCACACATGGCCAGAGCAGGGCATAAGAAAATGATCAGGAAAGGGTGAAGCTCTTAACTTAAGCAGAGCCCTCTTTTCTCATGTGTTCTACACACATAATTATCCTTGGGAGAAACTGAATTATACTGCTGCCCACAAACAGGATCCACTGCTTGATCTCTAGAGACACAGCGTTTTTGATCACTGAGTTGATTGTTAGCTGACACTTTTAAGTGTCATCATAGTTACCTCCTAGCTGTACATTGATGCAGAAGAAGCTGGGTTGGTTCACTCTAAACGTCAGTGGGAGTCTTTCAGACATAATAGCTTTTTGACCTACATTATATTAAATTTCATCCCCCTTCTTCCTTTAAGCTGATGTAGAAGTGATAAATACTTTCATGTGATGTAGCAATTTCTTGTATATTTGGAAATCTCACAGTTCTTCAGGCAAACCAGTATTTATTCCAGTTAGTACTTGGGCACAAAATGTCCCCCACATGACCACATAAATACCCAACTGTTTTTGATATTTTGCGTAACGTCAAAAGTGCCCTAGTAGAGCCTTAATGGAAGTGATGCTTCAAGGGCTAGAATAGCTTTTATTTAGCTCTTGTGTTGGAGGTCTTTATTGTTAAACCCAATAAAAATTTTTTGCTTGTGGTCTGTGTAAGGTTTAGCAAATAAGTAAACTTGAGTTCTGCCAATATCTTCTCAGGGACTGCTCACATGCCAGAGCACTTTGGTAGGAATTCTGGTTAAATTAAACATGGTCCCTTTTCTCAGGAGCTCAAACCAGCAGAACACAGACCCAGAAGCAAATCAGTAGCAGAACAGTGAGCCAAGTACAACAAAGAAGTGCGTGGAAGGTGCCATGGTAGCAAGGGAATTAATTCATTTCTAGTCTATGTTCTCTGCATAAATGTGGCTTAAAAACAAATAGTAAATTCCAAATGTATAATTTGTAACTGTAAATCCATAAAAATTTTACAGTTGTAATGGATGCATGCCATTCCATGGTATGGGTGTATCATAATGTATTTAATAACACCCATTTTTGGACATTTAGGTTGTTTCCAATTGTTTTGCTAACATCAACTGTGCTTCTATAACTTTCCCTGTTGATGATTCTTTGCCCACTTCTGCAATAAACCCTCCTTAGGGTAAATTTTAGAAATAAGATTTGAGCTGGATGTTGAAAGATGAATAGGAGATCACCAGATAGACAAGAAAAGGGGTGGGAGTAAGAAAGGGCATTCCAGGTAGAGGCAGTAGAAGCAAACTCCAGTGCCATAATTCATGGGCAACTGGTAAGCTTCATTTGCCCAAACTAGCCACAGGGCCTGCCTGCTAGGCTAATAAAGCTGTGGACACAGCGAGATGATGTTACATGATACAGATGGCACTTTAACTGTATTTACTTCCTCTGTGCCTTGCTTTTACAGTCACAAGCAAAGCAATGTCTTACTACCTCAACTCAGAAAACCACCTGGACCCAGGGCCCATCTATGTGCGAGAGAATGGGCAGCTGCACATGGTCAATTTGGCCTTGGATGGTGTCAGAAGTAGCCTCCAGAAACCAAGGCCTTTCCGACTGTTTCCCAAAGGCTTTTCTGTGGAGTTATGCATGAACAGGGAAGACGATACTGCGCAGAAAGAGAAGACTGATCATTTCATCTTCACATATACCCGGGAGGGGAATCTTCGATACTCCGCAAAATCCCTCTTCAGCCTGGTCCTGGGCTTCATCTCCGACAACGTCGATCACATTGATTCCCTTATTGGCTTTCCTGAGCAGATTGCTGAAAAGCTGTTCTCTGCTGCCGAAGCCAGACAGAAATTCACAGAGCCTGGTGCAGGGCTGAGAGCTTTACAGAAATTCACGGAGGCCTATGGAAGCCTGGTGCTTTGCTCCCTGTGTTTGCGAAACAGGTAGGTATTCTGATTAGGATATTGAGTATTTTATTGGGTGTTAATTATGTCACGCTCTGGGGCTTAGTAGCTTTGAGGGCTTCCCCATCAAATAGCACTTCAATTTTGAACTTTCAGACACAAAATGATATGGGCCATTTTGAGAAAAATCATTGTTTGCCTTCACCCCTCACTCTTTCAGACAGCATTTAGCTTTGTTTTTGAAACAATTTAAAAGGATTAGTTGATTACCACAGCTCCATTAGGTAGAAAATACTCTTCTACCAACTTTCCTAGTAAGAGAAAGTAGAAAAGACAAGATGTGATCTGCCAAATATCTGTTGGTATGCTTTTGGGGATATGAAAATTAGTAACTAGAGTTCTCAGCCCTGTTCCAGTGTTCAGACCACTAGATATTGAGCATTAGATAAAAAGAAATTTTTTAAAAAATGAGTGGTTGAAATTTCAAGTACCCTAAAATTTGGAAGTTTTCAAAGATGTTCCAACAGTGGGAACTTCTGTCTTAGGAAAGCTCTGTCTTTCCTCATAGAGCAGATGTTTTGTTGTGTGTGTGACTTGCCTTGCTCATATACTTTTATGATTTATTAAAATTTTTATCCTATCATATAAAATGACTTTCAAAGTAACTACTAACTTAAAAGAATACTTTTGAAGAATGTACATAGAAAAGAATTTAAAGCAAACAAAAAAGTAGAAAGTGAAACATAAACTTCACTCCCTTCTCTTTCCTATTTCTTCTCTACAGAGGCAACTACTGTTATCAATTACTTTTACATCATTTCAGAAATACTCTGCACATACACATGCTCATATAGTTCTTCCCTTTGTCATGCAAATGGCAACACACTGCTTACACTGTTGTGTACCTTGCTTTCCTCTAATATTTTGAAAATTATTTATCAACAATACTTGTAGATTTTTTAAAATAGCTGTATAGTATACCACCGTATGGATGTTTCTGTGATTAGAAAATGTGAGACTTCCAGTCAGGATGGTGGTGTAGGTAGCCATGCTTTGCCTCCTTGTGCAACCATGGAAAGAATTAAAATCAGATCTCAAACCTAATAACACCCAGAATTAACAGAAAACCAAGTTATATGGAAGTCTGCGATCCAAGGATTTAAAGAAGACACATTCATCCAGACAGGTTGGAGAGGTGGAGTCACAGAGATGGGTGGAGAGGTGTGTGTGCAGCAAAGCGGAGTGGTGCGACTGTGGTGGAACAAAAGGGAGGAATACCTTTGGAGTGGGTGATCCCAGCCCCAGGCCAGACCACACAGCCCAGGGTTCTAGCACTGGGTGGATCCCTGTTAACCTCTGGCTGTAGAAACCAGGGTGGGGCTGGGGCAATGGAAGAAACTTTGGATTTTTGTAGCACAGTCTTAGAATGTATGTAAATGTACCCACTCCAGGATTCACCACCAGGCCAGCAGCTAGAAGGGCCCCAGTCACACACAGCAAGGAGGTGAAGTGACTGGAAACAGGGTGAATGCCAGTCAAACTGCCAGAGGCCAGGCAGCATTGTCCAATCTCTGAGCCCTCTCCACACAGCCACAAAGCAGTGGAGAGGGTTGCCTGGTCCTGGCAATTACCTAAGGCTTTGCCCCACACAATTTATAGGTGCCTTTTCTACAATAGGCCATGCTGTTAATACAGAGAGTAAAAGCAGCTTTACCTAATACACAGAGACAAACATAGGGAGGTTGCCAAATTGAGGAGACAAAGAAATATGGCCCAAATGAAAGAACAGAACAAAACCCCAGAAAAAGAACTAAGCAAAATGGAGATAGCCAACCTATCAGATACAAAGTTCAAAACATTGGTTAACAGGATGTTCAGAGAATCCCTTGAGTACAGCAAGCAAATGAAGGAAGAAATGAAGGTTTCTCTAAGTGAGTAAAGAATAATCCATGGGAAACCAACAGAGAAGGGAAGGAAGATAGGATTCAAACGAATGATTTGGAATATAAGGAAGAGATAAATATTCAACCAGAAGAAAAAGAAGAAATAAGAATTTTAAAAAACAAGGATAGGCTTAGGAACCTCTGGGACATCTCAGAAAGTGCCAACATCCGAATCACAGGAATGCCAGAAGAAGAGGAAGAGCAAGAAATGGAAAACTTATTTGAAAAAATATTAAAAGAAAACTTCCCTAATTTGGTGAAGAAAATAGACATACAAGTCCAGAAAGTCCCAAACAAGTTGGACCCAAAGAAGACCACACCAAAGACACATCATAATTAAAATGCCAAAAGTTAAAGATGAAGAGAGAATCTTAAAAGCAGCAAGAGAAAAGGAGAGAGTTACCCACAAAGGAGTGCCCATAAGACTGTCAGCTGATTTCTCAAAAGAAACTTTGCAGGCAAGAAGTATTCAAAGTGATGAAAAGCAAGGACCTATAGCCAGGATTACTGTACTAGTGAAGCTGTCATTTAGAATGGAAAGGCAGATAAAGTACTTCCCAGATAAGATAAAGCTAAAGGAGTTCATCACCACCAAGTCATTATTACATGAAATGTTAAAGGGAGTTATCTGAGAAAAAGAAAATCAAAATAATGAACATTAAAAAAATAATAAATCCACAACTATGAACGACTGAATCTAAAAACAAAAACTAAGCAAACAACCAGAACAGGAACAGAATCATAGATACGGAGATCATTTGGAGGGTTATCAGCTGGGAGGGGGAAGGGAGAGAATGGGGAAATGGTGATTAAGAAGCATAATTGGTGGGAACAAAATAGACAGGAGGAAGTTAAGAATAGCATAGGAAATGGAGAAACCAAAGAATTTAAATTCAGGACCTATGGACATGAACTAAGTGGGGGGATTGCTGGAGGGAAGGGGGGGTACCAGGCAGAAGGGGGCAAAGGGGGAAAAATTGAGACAACTGTAATAGCATAATCAATAAAATATACTTAAAAAATATAAAAGCCTACTGTTAAGATACACAATGTGATCATTAAAATAAGGCTAAACAGAAAGCATATAATAAAAAGAACAGAAAGCATAAGTTGAGCTCATATGCTTGAAAAAATAAAGAAGCATTCTTTATTTAATTGGTTCATAGGATTAATGTTTTTATCCCAGGCCAAATATTGTACTTTAAAAAGAAAAGACATAAACAGATGCAGACAAAAACAGAACCATGGACTCATGAACTTTGCAGACACCTCATGAAAACTCTGTCTTTGTGCTGTGGTCTCAGTCCAGGCTGGGCCAGTGGAAAGGAAAAAATTGCCCAGGTGACTAGTCAAGTAACATTTCATTGCAGCTTGTACATTTGAAATACATTTTACTTTTTAATCCAAGTTATTTCTGTTTATTATAGAACAATTTGAATAAATAGAATTATGTATACTTTGTCTTAAAATTATGTTATAAAGGCATTACATACTATTTAGGCAATACATAGAACTGTGATATTAAAAAAAAATAATAGTCCCACCATTCATGGTAATCATTTTCAAATATATATTTTTGTGCATTTAGAATATACTCTAATCTACAAATTGTATCCTGTTTTGGTTTTCCTTCACTTACCATTATGGCTTAAGCATTTCTAATGATAGTGAAAATGCTTTTCATCCATTTGTGAGGTTTGCCTACTGCACCAGTGGTCAGAAGCACAAGTGGATGAGAATAGCACGTTTATTCATGTTTGCTGAGCACATAAATTAGTGCAGCGTTTCTGGAAAGTAGCTTAGCAAAAAGTATCAAGAACCTTTAAAAATACCCATACCATTTATTAGCCCATTAATTCCATTTATTTACAGTCTCTTCTAATTTCTAATGTTGTAATCACATATAGGAACAAATATTTTTATATAAGAGTGTTCGTTATAGTAGTAGTTGTAATAGTGAAGCCTGAAAGCTGACTATCCAACACTAGGAAAGTAGTTAAGCAAATTGTGGTACATTCATATGATATATAACTCAAGATAATATTTAAAGAACATTTAAAATGATGTAGTGAAATGTTCATTATATACTAAATGAAAAAATAAGAATTAAAGTTACATATGCTATATGATCCTAGCTTTATTAAAATAAGAATTTTTATAATTGCATTTATAATTGAATTTTTAAAAATATAAATTACATTTTTATAATTTTTATAATTTCTCTATTTTTATAATAGAGAAAGAAAAAACCCACTGAAATATCTAGATGGTGGGATTGAAATTGGTTTAATTTTCTTTATAATTTTTCATATTTTCATAATTTTTTTCTCCATAACCTTTTGGCTCATATTATAGCATTTTCAAATTTTGCTGTCTTATTTAAATATAAATAAGATTTTCAACTGTGATAAAAAAATTCCCTTTTCCTTTTGAATTCCCAAAGGCAAAAAGAAGAGGGCAGGAGATTTGGGTTTGCATTTGCAATTCAGGACTGAAGCTGCAACAGCAAAGATTTTACCAACACAAAAGGGTTGAGGTGAAAGGGAAAGAGCCTGAGAAAATAATTGAAAATTAAATAATTGGTTAGGTGCAGGGGCTTGCGGTCTTGGGATTGAGTCACAAAGCTGCCTGCCCAAAGAAGCCAGTACCTTTGTAACCAGGTTCCACCCCTGCAGAATGGTCTCCTCCCTGTGTTGAAACCCCAGTGATTTTTCAGTCCCACTGGTGGCTGCAGGGAGGTAAGTATGTTTTCCTTAAAATATCACCCTGTGTAACTGAAGTAATTATAATAGCTACCATTTAATGAGGGCCTTAATAACCTTGAAAAAAATAATCATCAGCCCCATTTTCTAGCTGGAGAAATTGAGACTTGAAGAGGTTAAGTTACTTCTCACAATTACACAGGTAATTAGAGTTGTTAAGAATCTAAATTCACCCGATCCTGATTTAGGGGGAAAAAAGAATCTAAATTCAGGTCTTTCTGATGCTAAAATATGTCTGTAACTCTGTTGCTTCTCCACTCACTGTTTTGGAACTGTTAAGGGGCAAATTGAAGACTAATTTTGAGCAAGACCCTAGAACTTGTTATAGATCAGCGATTTTCAACCAGTGTGCTGCAAGAATTTTTAAAATATGCAATACCTGAATATTCAGTCAGAGACACCGACCTCTTTTCCCCTTAGATTGTCAAATAAAAAAAATGAGAACAGCCAATACCACAGTAGCCATCCAATGTGAATGCCCTGTCTTGAACCATAAATATATAGGTCATATAATAGAGATGCATCTTATTAGTCATGTTGCATAATAAGGTTGGATCTGATAGGTTAACTCTTGGTACTAAAAATTTTTATATAGAAACATTAGCATCTGATTTTTAAAAAATCACTTTGGATCAAAACACATAGGTAATTGCTATTGTTATTATTGTAAATCAAAATTATACCTATTTTTTTGTCAGAAGTGCAAAAAATGTATTTTTTGGTGAGCCACAGAATTTTAGTAATTAGTTTATGTGTTCCATGAGATGAAAAAGGTTGAAAGTCATTGTTCTAGATAAACATCTAGTAAGGTCTGTGGCTTTGCATGTTGGTTTCTCAGCTTTGATTTTTGTAATGTTTGTTAATTATGTTATCCTTCTCAGATAACCCATTCAGAATTACTAAAAATCTTTTGGTCAATTGATCAAAGGATGTGTGTTTTTCTTTCTCTGATTACTAGTAATCCCCCAAATCCCCATTAACCCATTTCAGCTCTGTGATTGTAAAATGGAAAGCAGCAGCTTTATTTGCAGTGCAGTTAAAATAGTCTGAGTAAATAAGGCTCATTTGTGGACCCAGCTGAGCTCCATCGGGCTGCTTAGAGGGGATATCAGTGCCCAGGCCTTCTGTAGCTAGCAGTCAGGTCAGTGACAATTTGTTGGAAGTAGGAAGAAAAGAGATTTAACTTCCCTCTTACTATCGGATTGTTACATCCTGTTTTTGGTCATTATGATCCTGCTGACAGAGATGTGAACTCTTTTTAGTGCAACCGCCACTGGTCCTAGCTTGCTGTCTCTCTGTGGAAACATCTAGACATTCCTGAGGAAAGTGGATGAGAAAGGCATGCTTTTGTCGCAAGTCAGTTTCTCTATTCTTTTAGGATCCCCTCCATTTCCTGTCACACCTAATTCCTTTTCATTTTTTCTCACTGACGACATCTAAAAGAGAAATGGCTAGAAAGCAGAGTGGAGGCCGCAGCCTGGGATGTGTAAAGCCTTTTTAATCCCCTTTTCCTCTTCAGAGGCCTCCCTGATGCTTCCTTATAAACTTGGGCAAGGTGCTCTAGTGTAATTAATTGGTTGTGCTCACTGGTTTGTCTTAAGAACCATTTAGATTAGAGTGAGCCCTCTTAGTAGTCATGCTGCACATGCTTTCAGGGTAAAGTTATCGGGTTGACAGGGACACAGTGGAGTGGGCAGCTACTCAAACTTGGGTTTGAGTAGAAAAGCTAAAATGTGATCTGCCAAATACTTCTTAGTATGTTCCTGGATGTGAAGATTAGAAGCCAGAGTTCTTGGCTCCATTTCAGTTTTCAAACCACAAAATATTGGGCATTAGATAAAACTCAGCCTTAAAGGAATGATTGATTAAACATTTTTGAGTACATAAAGTTTGGAAATTCTCCCATAAGGTGCCAACACCACTAAAGTCTATCTGTCTTCCAACAAAGCAGATGTTTTCTCCTGTGACTTGTCTTTGCTCATGTACTTTCATTTATTTACTTATTTAAAATGCTTATTCCACTCTCATGTAAAAAGACTTTCTAGGCATTCACTAATGAAAAAATTCAGTCAGTGTCCACATAATAATCAGTGAAGTCTGCTTGTTACATGGTACTTTGTCCTGATGGAATGTTGACTGCGGCACAGAGCCACATTTGGTAGTGTTTTAAAAAGAAGGAAAAGAAAAACTGCTTCTTGTTCTCCATGCCCCACAGATATCTGGTGATTTCAGAAAAACTTGAGGAGATTAAGTCTTTCCGGGAGTTGACCTGCCTGGATCTTTCCTGTTGCAAGCTTGGAGATGAGCATGAACTTCTAGAACATCTCACCAATGAGGCCCTATCTAGGTATGGCCACCATTTGCAGATGAATTGTTTTATTTTTTCAAAGGAGGGCCTGGCCTGGCTGGGTGGCTCAGTTGGAGTGCTGTCCACCAAATCTGCGGTCAGGGCACATAGCTAGGCTGCTGGTTCGATCCCTCGTCAGGGTGTGTACAGGGTGCGCACGGGAGATAACCAGTCAATGTTTTGCTCTCACATCAACATCTGTGTGCGTGTCTGTCTGTCTCTCCTTCTCCCCCTCCCTGTTCCCCCTGCCACCCTGCCTCCCTCTCTCTCTAAAATCAATAAATGTATTCTCAGATCAGGATTAAAAAATAAAAAAAGGTATGATCCAACAAGGTCATCTTGAAGAATGCCTATTACTTCACAAACCTGTGTTTATTTGCTTTTTTTTTTTTTTTCCATAAAATTCTCAATTTCCATTTACTTGGTAGAAGCAATGTAGATTGGACATCTCTTACAAAAGTAAGTCAGTTGGTAATTTTTCTAAATAAACTATTACAACATGTACTACTTAAAGAGTACATGGGTTAAAAAATGATTTTGGCTTTTGTCTAGTCCTAATTCATTCTAGCAAGAGATGAGAAGTTATATAGTTTTCCATAATTATCATTTTCTATTTTAACTATCAATGAATTACAAATTATTTTAAAAGTAAACTACTAAAGACAACCAAATACATCCTTTTCAAAAGAACCATAATTTAAAGAAATCACCCAGTTCATACCGATCACACATAATCCGACTAATCTCAGTCTGGACAGCAGAGAGGAGGCCAAATGGATTCCTCTGTGGTTTCAGAAGCACCCAGAGGAATAACAGCATTACAAACCTGAGTCTAACTTGCTTCCTGGGACCTTCCTAGGACAGACACCCACATACGGCTCCGTACAAAGGTATTTTTGTGTGAGTTAGTAAAAGTTCAGATTTCTTCCTGTGTGTGGGACAGTGAAGCACATTAATACACCAGTGTCAGATTAGCTGCATGGATTGGGTTATGGGTATACCTTAAAAACCCGATCTGAAAATCTGGATTTATAAAGCTAGTTAAATTTAGAGGATTGTTTGTTTTGTCAAAAGAATTCTCATAGGAGTTCTTTAGGAGACCTTCCTGACATATTTAGAGTGTTTTTAGTTTTTACACAATATTTTTTTTTAGGAATGCAGCTTTTGTGTTTAACGAGGTATATTCATCTCCTTAATGAAATCCATTTATCTCTTTTCACCATATACCTTCAGTGCCTTCTGCCATCTGAGATTAATACTACATGACACTTTGTTCCCTAAGGTAACACTCACTGAGTAACTGAAATGACACCAGCAGATATTTAACTCCATTAAATGCATTGGGTGTGAAACAGCAGGGGGCAGAGGATATTTTATATTTTTAAATGAAACTTATGAAAGCATGTTATACCTAGACTTTCTCAAACTCTCTTTGAGTAATTTACTTATGGACTTTGTTTCCTTAGTGTAACTCAGCTCCACCTGAAGGATAATTGTTTATCCGATGCCGGGGTACGGAAAATGACAGCGCCTGTTCGAGTGATGAACAGAGGCCTTGAAAATCTAACGTTACTAGACTTATCTTGTAAGTTTTACCAGAAATTAGAGATTATTAATGTTGAAAGAATGGCCTTAGAAATCATTTGGTTCTTCCCTTCATTTTAGAGGTGATAAATTGAAGGGACTTTCCTAAGTGCCACAGCAAGTTAGTGGCAGAGCAGGACTAAAGCCAGAGGCTCCTGACTCCTGGCCAAAACCTCTCTGGCACGCTGGCACCTCGTTACGGTAGGAAAGGCCCTTACGGTTTCATCCATGCCGCTCACTGTGCAGACAGCGCAGCCTGTCATCATATTCGTAGCATCTATAAAGCACGTTTGGTTCATCTTTACTTTCTTTGAGTTGCTTGTCTGTCATCTAGGTCTTTTTTATCCATATTTGCTTGATGGAAATCTGGATGAATCCACAATTATGATAACTTACTCAGGATTAACCAAATACTGACACCAATGGTAGATAGTTGATAGGGATCATTTACAATTTAATTGTGCATCCATTGAATGTATGAAAGGCAGGATGGTATGATGTCAAAGGAATAGAAAGAGCAGGGTTTGAGGTCAGAGGATGCTCCTTGCTCTTTTACTCTTATTAGCAGCTGTGTGCCCTTGGGAAAGTTATTGAACCTCTCTGAGCCTTGGTTTTGACTTCTGTAAAATGAAGATGATGATGAATGTTCTGCCTTCCTCCCAGGAAAGTGTATTCATTCAACAAATATTTTTTGAGCATCTACAGTGTCTCAGGCACTGTGCTCATGGCCTTGAGGACTCAGTGCTAAATGTAATAACTGTCTGATATGAGATGGTAATATAGAAGAGAGGATTCTGGGAAAAAAGCAAGTAAGAGTAGTAATAGTCCCTGTGTTTTGAAAACCTTTTTAAAATAAATATTTTTACTTTGGAAGTGAAATGGCTGTGAATAAAGTCTGATGAACCATTTTTTTTTTTTTTATTGTTCAATTACAGTTGTCCTCATTTTTTCCCCATTATCCTCTCCTGCCCTATCCACCCCACAATGAATCATTTTAATACATGTTTATATATGTTGTTTCCATATGGTTATAAATTGAACCCTTTGGGGTAACACCTGGGTCATTTTTTTTCTCCTAACCCCCAGCTCCTAGAAAGTTAAAGCTATAAAGGACCTTAAGGATCATCTCATGTGTGGCTCTTCATATCACAGCTAGAATAAAGATCCCTATATTTAATTTACTCGGAAAAGTTTGTTCACTCAATATTTTATATTTTATCATCATTTGACCTTTTTCTGACCTTATTGTTGGCATTTTAGCAAAGTTATTTTGTAACTGAATACTACCTGTGTTTTTGACACCTAGGTAACCCCGAGATCACAGATGCAGGAATCGGATACCTCTTTTCTTTTAGAAAACTAAACTGCTTAGATATCTCTGGGACAGGGCTTAAGGTAGGACTTTTACTCCCTTCTGTTATTTTTCCACATTCCCAGTTTGATATTTTGCTTCTGTTAATTGGTGTTTAGAGAGGGCTGGTATTTATGATGGTGTTCATTTCCTACTGAAGGCAAGTGCTAACAGATGTGTGGGCTCCCTGCTCTGTCTTCCCCTCACTAGGACGTCAAAGCTGTCAAACACAAGCTCCAGACACACATAGGCCTTGTCCACTCCAAAGTGCCTTTGAAGGAGTTCGATCACAGTAACTGCAAGACTGAGGGCTGGGCCGACCAGGTACTGCATGGTTTTTCACATATAGTTAGTACGGTTTTTCATTGTAACTCTAAGAGTCTTATTCAACACTTTGAACAAATGTTAATCCTGTTAGTATTTCCTGGCTTAATTGTCACCTTCATGTCAAATTGGAGACACTGATGCCCTGCAACTGACCCAGCTACTTAAGGAAAGGTGTTACATGCCTGTCCTTAAATCTTATGCTCTGGTCACTAGATTATGCCTCATATCTTATTGGACCTCAGAGAAAAATGCCATCTTATAAAGATTCTGAAAATAAATGTATTATGGCTTCTATGAAAATATCAGGATGACCCAACTTCAGGAGGACAGATTTTTCTTAGTAGTCTAGAAAGAGTTAAGTCACACCAATAACGATTTAAATCTGACTCTTCCTCTTTTGGGGGCAATTTTCCTACATCTCAGAGCCTTAGCGAGGACAGGTCTTTTTGTCCTTCTCTCACTGAGCATTCCCATTTTCATCTTCTTGACTGAACTTTACTTTGAAGAGTCATCTCATCTTGATGGTCTCCCTCAACTTGGTAAAGTACAGACTTAAGTAGGAAGTCAGAAGGTAACCAAGTATACAGCACCAGTAGATGCCAGCTTGCCTGTGACTGGTGCCTTTCTCCTTCCCACACTTTAATAAACCAATGGTTCTTGGTGGAGACTTAGAGGACTCCCCAAACTGTTTTGTTCTGGGTGTCTCCTTGGTGGTAGCTGTAATGCATGATGATGGACCTATCCAACTGCCTGATCATAGCATCACCTCCCTAGGGGTAAACAGGAAGAGGTGCTGGTGAGTCACTGTTTCAGAAGCACTTTGAAGTTGGTCCAGAAAATGCATGCTGAAATAATTATCTTAGTGCGTGGCCAGACACAGTCTGTAGCACTGTGTGAACCCTAGACATAGCAGTAGTGAACTCAGGGCAGGTAGGTGTGGGATAGTAATATAAAGGCTTGATGTAGCTTGGTAGCAGGTGTCGTGGTGGAAGGAGCACAGGCTGTGGAGTCAAAGAGACGTGGGCTTGGCATCCTGGCTTGATAGCCCAGTAGCTGCATGACTTCAGGAAACTTTGAGTCTCTGTTTCTTCATCTGTAAAATGCAGAAGCCAGGATCTCTCTTGCAGAGCTTGGTAAGGGTGAAGGAAAACGCCTAGCAGCCTGACCTGAAAGTAAGCGAATTGGCCTCTGCACAGCTTCATGCCATGCAGCCTCAGCCTCACTTCTCAGGCTCGACTGCAGCGCTTTCTCTCTCTTGTTGATCACTCATTGAAACTGTTTCAGGCCGACTCTGCTCCTCCTGCCTCACTCTCAGCAGGTGACACAGAATGAGACTGTCTGACAGAAGTGCCCTTACTGCCCTATCTCTGTCTTAACTTTTCTTTGTTTCTGCAACTAGATTCTACTTCCCTCCTATCTAAAGGGAAAAGGGCATCATTTTGTTCCAGAGATAAGCCTTTTAGAGGTTTTTTTTTTTTCTTTTTCAGTTCTCTGCCCTAAGATCATCAGCTTTTCCTGCACTTGTACTAACAGTTATTTCCCTCTGCTGCCCCACCACCGCATCTTCAGTCGTACCCTAGGCTGGCCATTTCCTTTCTCTGTATAAACATACTTGATCTACTGTTAGTCTGACATGTTCCTCATTCCCCAGCAGAACTGTGAGTTTTTTATTATCTCTCCCACTTCCTCATTGCCTACTCAGTTCTTAATCTTTTTTTCTTAATAAATCTCTTTATTTATTTTTAGAGGGGGAGGGAAATAGAAAGAAAGGGAGAGAAACATCAATGTGTGGTTGCCTCTCATGCGTCCACTACTGGGGACCTGGCCCACAACCCAGGCATGTGCCCCGACTGGGAATCCAACTGGTGGCCCTTTGGTTCGAAGGCCAGCACTCAACTTAGTCCACTGAACCACACCAGCCAGGGCTCAGTTATTACTCTTTTCTAATCTAGGCCTGGCCTCCACTTCTCTATTGCAGGTGGTCCCTCGAAGGTAATGTGTGATCTCATTTTTCACTTGCATTGGCTTTTCTTCAGCATTGATGTAACATGTCCGCCCCGTGCTTTTTCCTCTCGGCCCTTCTCCTGGCTCCCCCGGACTTTATCACTTCTCCACCTAGCTCTTGCTGATTACTCTCCTCTTCTCTGATACCTCCCCTCTCTCTCCTGGTGATCTCAACTGTTCTTGGAGCCTTAACTATCCCTATGGGAAGGGTTCTACCTTCTCTCACACACTGGACCCATTCCTAAATATCACCCATAAATCTCTACCTGGTACCTCACATTCAGCATGCCTAGAACCTAACTTATTTTCTTCTTCCCTGTCCCCAAGCTCTTCTGTTGACATTCTGGTTTCTCAGTGGCAGCACTGTTTTCCCAGTTGTCCCCTGAGTCACTAGATTCAGGAGACCTGTCTGCATTTTCCACAATCGGAAAGAATCATAGAAGGGGTGATAGTGGGTATTTACTGAGTGCCGTTTGTGTGCCGGTCACTGTGCCACACCCTTCGTGTGTGTTGTGTCGTTTAACAGATGAAGAAATTGAGACTCAGAAATTAAATCACTTGCCAAGGGTCGCCTGGCTAGTAGGTAGTAGAGCTAACTCTGGAATTGTATTCTTAGACTGTGTTGTACTGCTCTGTGTCCTGAAAATGTTTTTCTTTATGATCATTCATTGCATACCATAATGAAAAATATTAAATTCAGTTCTTGTTTCTCATGGTATAAGTGAAATAATCATTTATTTATAGCTTATACTTGGCCAAAGTTCCAAAAGAATTTGAGGTAGCGTATAATAAAAATACATTTGCAATGGTTGTAAAAACGGAAGCTGATCATGAAGTATCTTGAGAATATGGAAATGTGGACATTTTACACACAGACTTTAAGTTATAGTTAATGTATTTTAAGGCTCATGCCTAAGAGTGTGTGAGTAGTAATCACTAAGGTTTTGGCTTTTTCTAGATTTAAAGATTTATTTATTTACTTTTAGAGAGCAGGGAAGGGAGAGAGAGAGGGAGAAAAACTTCAGTGTAAGAGAGAAACATCAATCAGTTGCCCCTCGCACGCCACCCACCGGGGACCTGGCCCCAACCCAGGCATGTGCCCTGACTGGATACCGAACCGGCGACCTTTTGGTTTGTGGGGTTTGCGGTACGATGCCCAACCCACAGAGCCACACCAATCAGGGTATGATTAAGTTTTAAATTTTATTTAGTTTAGGGAAATGCCATTTATTTCCAGCTTGGAATAGAGATGAAAATTGGAAGTGAGCTTTATAGATGTTTCCTAAGTAATGCAAATGCACATATCCAACATATTTGTAATCCCTGTGTTAAAACAGGAAGTCCAGGTGTGGCGTGATTCTTATCATCAGTCACCTGAAGTCAGAGTACCACAGGGGTCTATGTTTACAGAAAGGAAACAAAGGAGAACAAGGAAGGTTTGAGATTAAAAGCTTGAGATTTTGTTCAGATTCACATCTTTTCAAATATGTTTTAGATTGTTCTGCAGTGGGAGCGTGTGACTTCGGAAGCTGTGAAGCCAGGACAAGCCTTAGAACCTCGAAAGGCAGCTCAGCACTTCTGTGAGAAATTCTTTTTCCTCTGGAACTTTTGCCCTTAGGTTTTTGCACCCTAACTTAAAAGAAGTTAGCTTATCCTCACAAAGTGGGAAATTTAATTGTGATAGTACTGACTTAATTAGGGCACCAGGACTTGTGTTCTCTCAACATAGCTTACAGTGCTACGTCCGCACTTGGCTTTGAGCGCCAGTACCAGGAAAATAGCTTATTAAATGTATGTATGGGTTTATACTCCATCTTGTTCCAAAAATGATTTGCAGTGGCACCAAAGTAGACATATTATAGAAGGTTCAAAAGGGATTAAGTGTAGCCAAAAAGTAGAAGCAACTCACGTGCCCAAGAACAGATGAATGGATAAACAAAATATATTTTTTACATATGGTAGAATATTATTCAACCTTAAAAAGGAAGGAAATTTTAACACATGCTTTAACATGGGTGAAACTTGAAGACATTGCACTTAGTGAAATAAGCCGGTCAAAAAATAGACAAGTGTTGAGTAATAATTATGAGGCTCCTAGAATAGTCAAGTCCATAGAGACAGAGGGTGGAAGGGTGGTTGTCAGGGCCTGGGGAAGGGACTGTGGGGATTTATTGTTTAATAGGTTGGAGTGGCAGTTTTGCAAGACAAAAAGTTTTGGAGATAGATGGTGGTAATGGTTGTACAATAATGGGAATGTACTTAATGCCACAGAGCTGTATACTGAAAAATGGTTAAAATGGTAAATTTATTTATGTATATTTTACCCTAATTTTTAAAAATGAGGTTAAGTGATGAAATCAAAGTGAAGAAAAAATAAAGGTAACAAAGTAAGAAGCCAGGGAATACCAAGAAAGAAAAACACATAATGTGTTATCTGCTAGAGTTGTGCTATAAATCGGGTTCACAGAAGACAGTCACGTCCAGACTTTGAATAGTAATAGCTAACATTTTCTTAGCTTTTACTGTGTGCCAAGGATTGTCCTAAGCACTTTATGTACATTATTTTATTTATTTTCACATCACCCTTATGCAATAGGTTTTATATCTCTGTAAAGATGAGAAAACTGAATCTCAAGTCACTTGCCCAAGGCCTCTTATCCATGAAGTGGCTCATACATGCCTTCAGCCAGTGCTGAAGCGGTGATATGCCACTGTCACTTTATAGGGACTCAAAAGGGAATAAAATCAATTCAGGCATCACTCTGTTTAGGCCATTGTCACTTTCTTTGGATCACCCTTCCCTTCTGTCGTTCTTACAGATGGGAAGCGGGCGCGAACAGAAACCCCGGTGAAGTGTCCCCTGGCAGACCCCCACGTGAACTCTTCTGAGAAACTTCAGTTCTATAGAGAGAAAGCCCCAGACTGCCACGGGCCATTGTTGAAACGTGAAGCTATCTCAAGCCAGGAGTCAAAGAAGACCAAGAAGAGAGGTTTTGAGGAGCCAGAAAAGGAACAGAGTAATTCTTCACAGTCTTCAACGCAGAAATACGTGTGTCTTGCTGTGGAAGACTGGGACTTGTTAAATTCCTATTGATTGGCAGAAGTTGACCGTTTTCCCCCCAACTCTAATGTATGAGGAAAGGGGGCTGATGTTTTTTCTTTTTTGTTTGAATTTACCTATGACATTAGTATAGCAGGCAGATATTTCTACTTTTGTGGTGGGGGAGGGGAATGCTATGGAAGTATGTAATAATTTCTAATGTATATTTTCAATACATAGTAATTTTTTCAAATAAACATTTTTTGCTGTCTTTAAGTTCTACGTATGAAATGTGGACTGGAGCCATAGGAAATAACACTGGTTTGCAGTGAAAGGCCACCTGAAATAACGAGGCTGCTTAGCATGATTTGTTGCTACTCCGATTTGTCCTGGCTGGTTACATATACTGGGTCTGGCACAAATAACACTGCTTTTTTATTACAAAATCATGAGCATGTAATTCTGTAACAACGTCACACTCAAGAACATGATATGACATTTTAGGTGAAATGATCAAATTAAAACTATAAATTATTACACTCGTATTATTACCCTACCAACCACACTCACACAGGTCTTACTCCAGCCGGCCCCTGTATATGGCTGCCACATTGAATACCTCCCACTGCCATGACCTGTCCTCCGTGGAAGGAAGATGTTAGCCCCAGTTTAGAGTTAAGAAAACTCAGCCACAAGTTAAGTGAGCTGTTCAAGGTCAGAGAGCTGTTGAGTGACAGAACCAGAATATATGCTCCTTTCTGTCCAACGTTAAAGCCCACTCTGCTACAATGCCTTTTAAATAATAGTTCCTATTGCCCTGGCCAGGTAGCTCAGTTTGTTGGAGTGTCGTCCTGATACACCAATGTTGTGGGTTCAATCCCCAGTCAGTGCACACACAAGCAACCAATGAATGCATAAATACATGTAACAAGAAATTGATGTTTCTCTCTCAAATCAATTTTTTAACAATCCCAACTATTATGTCTATGAAGTAAAGCACCAGGACTCTTCACAGCATTCTACAAAGTATGTATGATCGCCAGTATTTGACACATGAGGAACCTGAGACCAATAACTTGCCTTGAACCAAACTGCTCCTCAAGCTTTATCGTGCATGCAAGTCACCCAGGGGCCTTGTTAAAATGCAGATTCTGATTCAGTAGGTCTGGAGTGAGACCTGAAGTTCAGCATTTGTAGCAGGTTTCCAGATGACCCCAGTGCTTCTGATTTGTGGACTACACTTTGAGGAGCAAGGCTCTAGACCACAGGTGGCAGATACAGGGCCTGAGGGCCAAATCTGGCCCTCCACCTTGTTTTATCTGGCTGGCACCTTGTTTCTACCCGGAGGTAGCACGGAGCTCCTTGCCCCTAGTTAAGGAGCAGTTACATTTACACAGTCCTAAAATTACATTCACCCCTTTCAAGGCAACTGCAAGGCTGGTGTGGCCCCCGGTGAAAATGAGTTTGATACCCCTGATCTAGACCTTCACTAATAAGGTAGACCCTAGTCACTTACAGCCATTGAACACTTGAAATGTGGCTAATCCAAAATGAGATGTGCAGTAAAATACACACCAGATATCAGACTTCAAAAGTACAAAAGTGTGAGTGGAAGATGATGCGTTTTGAGCTGCCATCTTGTGTCTCCACGTGGGTGTGCTTATTCTCAGCTGGTCTGCCAAAGACCCCCTAAGCACCAACCCTATTCCCCCACGCAGCCCCATTTTCTCTCCAGTAAGATGAAAGAAACTGGTGAACCAAGAGAAACTCACCAAACTGCAGGCACAAGTACACATTGGTGGGAAAGACACTGCTCGTAGAAAGAAGTAGATGGTTCACAGGACAGCTACAGCAGACAATAAAAAACTTCAGTTCTCCTTAAAGAAGTTGGGGTAAACAATATCTGGTATGGAAGAGGTAAATATGTTCACAAATGAGGAACAGTGACCCACTTTAACAACCCTAAAGTTCAGGCATGTCTGGCAGCGAACACTTTCAGCAGTACAGGCCATGCTGAGACAACATAGCTGACAGAAATGCTACCCAGCATCTTAAATCAGCTTGCTGCACACAGACTAGTCTAAGGAGACGCACTGAAGCCCCGCTTAAACAATCTGGATGGAAAAGCACCACTTGCTACAGGAGAGGCAGATGATGATGAAGTTCCAGATCTTGGAGAGAATTTTGATGAGGTTTCCAAGAAAGAAGCACACTGAACTGAGTCAACTTCTGAAAAAGATAAACTTGAAGAAGTCACTGGTGGCTGCGATTTTATATTATGACTGCTTTTTCAAATTTGTTTATGGATCTGATAAAATCAACATCTCTAATAGTTTTAAGCTCTAGCTCCTTGGACACTGCAGCTCTTTTCACTTTCTGCTCATACACAAATCATTCTTTGCATCTGATTAAGCTGAGGAAGCCTGGGATAAAGTTTGAAACCAAGGTTAATTTTTTCTAAAAAAGATATCTGCATTTTTAAGTATTGATTACATGTTAAAATGGTAATTTGGGGATTAAAAATAATTTCACCTGTTTTTATTTTTCTAATGTGGCTACTAAGAAACTTAACATGGCTTGCATTTGTGATTTGCATTATATTTCCACTGGACAGTTCTCTTCTAGACTATATTCCATCCTTAAAAAGCAGCTTAAAGCAAGACATCCTGGCAAGTAAAAGGGAGACAGGATTACCTTAAGGAATTAAGAAAATTGGTATGACAGGTTTGACACTTGGAAATGCTCTAGAGCAGGGGTGTCCAAACTTTTGCCATCTCTGGCCCACTCTGGAAGAAGAAGAGTTGTCTTGGGCCACACATTAAATACATTGCGACATGTAATCACAAAAAATCTCTTTTGTGTCTTTTTGCCAATGACACCTCAGACAAGAGCTTGATCTCCAAAATACATAAAGAACTCACAGGACTTCACTCCAGGAAGACAAAAAAAAAAAAAAATTATAAAGTGGGCAAAAGACTTGAACAGACACTTCTCCAAGGAGGACATACCGAGGGCCCAGAGACACATGAAAAGATGCTTAGCATCACAAGCCATCATAGAGATGCAAATTAAAACCACAATGAGATACCACCTCACACCAGTCAGAATGGCCAACATAAACAAATCAACAAACAGTGTTGGAGAGGATGTAGAGAAAAGGGAACCCTAGTCCATTGTTGGTGGGAATGCAGACTGGTGCAGCCACTGTGGAAAACAGTATGGAATTTCCTCAGAAAACAAAATGGAACTGCCTTTTGACCCAGCAATTCCACTGCTGGGATTAAACCCTAAGAGCCCTGAAATACCAATCCAAAAGAACCTATGCACCCCAATGTTCATAGCAGCACAATTTACAACAGCCAAGTGCGGGAAGCAACTAAGTGCCCATCAGCAAATGAGTGGATCAGAAAACTACGGTACTTTTACACAATGAAATTCTACGCAGCAGAGAGAAAGAAGGAGCTTATACCCTTTGTGACAGCATGAATAGAACTGGAAAGCATTATGCTAAGCGAAATAAGCCAGGCAGTGAGGGACAAATACCATATGATCTCACCTTTAACTGGAACATAATCAACAAAAGAAAAAGCAGACAAAATATAACCAGAGACATTGAAATTATAAACAATCTAACAATAGCCAGAGAGGAGTGGGGAGGGGACAGTGGGAAGAAGGGTTTTCAGGAACTATGATAAAGGACATGCAGACAAAACCAAGGGGGAAGGTGGAAGCTTCCCAAGGGAGGGAGATGGATTTGGAGGGAGTGGGGGGGGGGGGGAGAGGTGGGGAGGAAATACAGACAGCTGTAATTGAACAACAATAAAATATATTTTTTTAAATCTCATAATGTTTTAAGTAAATTTATGATTTTGTGTTGGGCCTCATGTGGGCCATGGGCCATAGGCTGGACACACCTGCTAGAATTTAACTAAGATTTTAATTAGTGTAGATTTTGGATCTGATGGGTATTTGCTATTCAGAGCTAGGCAAGGGGCTAGCCTGTTGCCCAGGATCATATCAAAAGCTCTGATTAGTGAAATTTATAAAAACAAAAAGGCAGTATAGATAGTTTTCTTTGTAGAAGTAAACTTGAGTTTTAAAATGTCATTTGGGTGGACAGTAGCACACCTTGCTAAATTCCTAGTGCTAATAAACACCTTGTCAAACTTGGCGTATATTGTTAGTCAAACTTGAGTCTAATTTGATCACCCCCTGCTGCCACCCCCCACCCCCCACTGTGGAGTCACAGTACTCTGCCAGAAAGTGACCTCTGGAAATACTTTTTAAACATCCCACCTGTTCAGATCACTTTGAAAGGCAAATATTCATTCAAAGCAACTTTTGATTTCTTATATAAACATAGTTTACTTTTAGAGCTTAAGTTTCATTTTCTTTAATCTTTTTTTTCTTTCAAGAATCTCATTTTCCTCTGCTGGTGATTCCCTTAAGCAAATATTTCTTGTTTGATCTGAACAATTCATTTTAGTCATTCAAATGGAGTTATGAAAGTCTAGGCTTTGTTTTAATGATTGAGATCAAAGTCAAGAAGTTATGACTGGCAGAAGATAGATGAGGTGATTTGTATGTGTGTGTCCAACTTACATGTGAGGATTAGCTATTTTAAAATTACAATTTCTTCTTAGGATTCACTTGCTGACTTAAGATCTTTGGGCAAGTGACTCAATTCTGTTAATCCTCAATGTACCTCTTTAGAATTAGGCCACCTATGCATGCTTACAAGAATGAGTAAATCAGTTTTTCTCAAGAGCATGGTCTATGGACCTCTGCCTCAGAGTCTGCTGGGGTATTTATTAAAATGAAATCCCTGGACCCCACCCATGTTCAGTGAATCAGAGTCTTCCAGTTTGCTAGAATTACATATGATTCTGATGTTAGGCCAAGTTTTCTTCTCATACATTTATTTAAAAAATGCTGAGCTACTAATTTGGGAAAGTATATATTGAACATTTAATATATGCCAGGTACTAGGGATTCACAGGGAACAAGACAAAATACAGTCTTGCCTTCAAAGAACTTACATTGGGCGTGGGGAGTGGAGTGAGACAGACTAAGAAGTAAGTAAACAGGACATAAGTCAATGAGCTAAGTTCACACAGTGATAAATACTTTAAAGAAAGGAGAACAGGGTAATGGGGTACTGGAGGATGGGGAGACAATTTAGATTTTTAAATTAATTTAGAGGGTTACAGAAGGCATCTCTGAGGAACTGATGTTTGAGTCAAGAGGTATGAGAATAAGGAGGAAATCATACAAAT